TGGAAGAATGTAGCAGAAGTGCTACAAAAGAATCATAATTCTGTTGTTGAACAACAACAAATGAAAAACCATTATAATTACCTCAAAGAAAAGTATGAAGCATGGGCAAGTTAAAACACAAGACATGTAATGTTTATGATGCATCAACAAACATGTTTAATCTGTCAGAAGAGGAATGACAGATAGAAATTAAGATCACATTTTATCTTTTTCTATTAAGATTATTTTCTTAAATTTTTCGTTTATATATACTTGTACATCTTTTATAAACAGCAAAACAAATTTGTTGGGAAGTTGAGGACTGAACCTCTTCCCTTTCCTCAACTTTGTAATCAATTGTTTGATGGTGTGGCTTCCACCGGAGTTGGAACTTAGGGACCAACTGCTATGTTCCCAACCCTTCTAGTATGACTCCTGAAATTGGTGAAGATTATGACACACAAGGCTATTATGATCTAACACAAGAACCAATTCCTTCGGAAGACGAGATTGTTTTTCGTCCCCAACCTCAAAGGAAAAAACAAAGAGAAAAACAATGTTCGGTTAATGAGGATGATTTAGCAAGTGTTATGACACATGTTAAACAGATCTTTAACAAACCACTAAGGTAGGATGAGATGGATCATTGCATTGATAAGTTGGAAACACTTGGATGAGAACAAATTGTGTTGTATGATGTAGCACTTTACATATTCAGTCAAAGCACCGACTAAAGGAAAATTTGGCTACGTTTGAGTGAGGAGAGGTGTAAAGGGTGAATTAAATTTACAGTTGGTAAGCTTGGTCTATTTTGGTTTGGTAATTTTGTTTTGTTTTCAACAATCATTTTTAAACGATCTTTTCTAGGATGTTTTTTTGGATCGTATTATGATTGATCTAATATAAATAAATGGCAACTTCAATTTGATGAGATGTTTGTGTGATAACTGGGTTTTTCGGTTATATAAATTTGGCGTGGTTTTTGAAAGATTTTGGTAAGTGAAGAAATCTTAGATTGTTTATGTGGTTACTTGCTTATAATAATACCACCGCCTATAATTTTATGTATATTTTAATTTATAGGGATGAGTATGAAAATAATAGTTCTAAAACTATTAGCTCCACCGCCTGTGAATTTTTATGATAATATAAAAGTGATAAGATAAGATGTATCTTATCTGTTTTGTTTTTGGAGAAAAGGAAAAGAAAGAAAAACCTTACTCTGTGTGTTTCTTGTATGAAATCCTACGTGATCCTGTAAGAAGAAGTTGATTCTGTGGTTATATTTGGAAATCGCCGCTGTGAAATTCACCTTTGTATACGTGAATATAAGATGAGTTTATGTTATTAACTTTCTGTATTTAGTATTTGAAATACTGAACTGGTTGGTTCTTATGTGGAAGAAGGCAAAACTGTTCTTAAAGCTGTTTTGAGTTGATGATGAAACTGGGTTTAGAACTGCAAAAGTTCTTAATATGAGTTTTTGTTATGAAACTGTTTTGATGCCATTATTGGCAAAAATGACAGATTTGGTTATGGTTATATTTTATGTGGGAATAAGGGTGACATATTAAGGAGGGGTGTACCTTGGGATAAGGGTGACATATCAAGGAGATGTGTACCTTGGGATAAGAGTGACATATCAAGCAGAGGTGTACATTGAGATAAGGTGGTATGTCAAGGAGAGATGTACATTGCAATAAGGGTGACAATTGTGAAATCTAAGTTATGATCATATATTTTGTTATCGCATCCATAGGATGCAATAATCTTGAGTTATTACCCCCTGTGTGATGTGAGGACTTGGGATTATTGCTCTTAATCGATGTGATAATCACGTTATTATGATGAGAAGGAAAATTGTTTATAACCATAGAGGCTTTGATTGGTTGTGCTTCGAATTAACAATGTTTTTGGGTTGGTCTGATTTCTGGATGGTTGTACTTCAAGTTATTTCAATAAAATAAAGGATTGATGAGGAGCCAAAGGGGCTCTGGTTCGTCTTAATGTCCAACTAGAAGGCCTCTAGTTGTAATCAAAGAGTTCTACGATTGTTTAATATATATTGACCCAGAGGGTTTGTATCTTGGAACTTAATAGTAAGTCCGAGCTCTGTATTCAAGCTCTTAGTTCCAAGCATAATTTTTATAGCTAAAACATTTTGGACTTAATCATTTCTAACCTTTGATAGAGGCCCAGAGAGGCTCTGATTAACTTCCATGTTCAACCAGAGGGCCTATGGTTATGTTTAAAATTTATTTGCTTTCAAGTATAACAAGTATAACTCATTTTCTTATTTTTCCTTAAGCTCTAATTAGATAGATCAAAGAGGGCCTTTGGTTGGTCATGCATCCTTAGTTAGTTTTAAAAGCTTGAGACCAGAAGCTCTGATTGGTAAGACCAGAGACTCGGATCATTCAGAGGGGCTCTGTTTGGCTTGCCTTTATTACTTTTACTTTTAGTCGTTAACCAAAAGCACTAGTTTATCATATCTTGTGTTAAAATTGCTTCGAGTTGTCCAAGACTTCAAGTTAGCCTTTAGTGGCCTTGTTTTGGTTAGGATTTTCTCTAGTTGATGGACTAGAGGAGCCCTGGTCCTTAAAGGCCAGAGGAGCTTTGGTCATTAAAGGCCAAAAGAGCTCTGGGTGATCCCGCACAGAGTGATGCGAGGAAATTGAGAATCTCGTACAGAGTGTTGCGAGGAAATTGAGAATCTCGCACAGAGTGTTGCGAGGAGTTGAGTGGTCACACTCCATGTGCGGCGAGGAAGATTTATAATTCCATTTTTGAATGTGATATTTGAGTTATGTTTTATCAAAAGGTTATATATATATATATATATATATATATTTGTATAATTACAAATATGATTTTATAACAAGTTTTGGTGATTTTCACCCTGTAATTGCATTAAAAAAAATTCTTACTAGACCTCTAGGTCTAATCCTCATTTTGTGTTTCAAAAATGTGCACTGCATGTCATTTATTATCAAGGGATAAGGGAAAGGGGAAAATGTGAATTTTCCTTTTGTGATTACATGGATTGTGAAAAAGAGCATGCTATCTGTTGGTTTTGGAATACTTGTTATATATGCAAGTTATGCACAAGAATGTTACGGAAAAATTTGGTTGTTATTTTTGTAATATAGCTTCTTGTACTTGTTGGGACCGAATGTGTACTACTGAGTTTTTCGTTATATGAAATACATGGTTATATGCAAATGTGAATCTTGGGGTGTTACAGTTTGTTTCAAGTTGATTTTTTTTTCATTTTTTTGTATTTGTTGTTTAATCTTGATGTTATATTTATGATATCTTTGAAGCATAAGGTGATGTTATTTTGTGTTTTATATTTGCAAGGCCATACATGGATGGAAATGAAATTATTATGATTGTGCTTATTATATATTGGTATTTGAGAAGAAGAGTTTCAACACGAATAGAAAGGGTGAGAAATTACACTTCAGTTCTCACCGGACATGCGTATACACAAGAATTATTAAGTGAATCCAATATGCAATGTCATGAATTGATGTGTTTATATCGTGATGCCTTTATAATGCTATGCGACCATTTTAAACCAAAAAATTAGTTGCAATCAAGTAGGCAAATAAGTGTTGAAAAGAAGATGACGATGTTTTTGACAATTGTTGCTCACAATGAACGTTTTAGACTGGTTAAACATAGATTTAAACACTCTACACGGACTATTCATAATTGTTTTCATGAAGTACTAAGAGGAATGACGGAATTCGCGAGAGAGGTAGTAGGGCCAACATCGATTGATGGAACACCAAATACCTCAGAAAGATTTAGGCACCTCAAAGAAATATTTCTGGCATGATTTATGTTATTGATTTGATAATTTTTAACCGTTTTTTATATTTTTTTACATGTTTCTTATAGTTGATGTTTTTTAAAAGGGGCTATAGGTGCACTAGATGGATAACTGATACATGCAGTTGTGCCTAGTGATCAACAAACAAGGTATAGAGGAAGAGGAAGAGGAAGAGGGGAATACTACCACAACGTTTTAGCCATTTGTGATTTTAATATGATATTCACGTTTGCATGGATTGGATGGGAAGACATTGCACATGATTCTAGAGTTTTGAGGAAAGTTGCATTTAACCCAACTTCGGGATTTCCATTTCCTTCATCAAGTAAGTATCATTTTCTTAACATTATAAGGTTATTATTAATCCATTTCTTTTAAGTTGTAGATGTAATTACAGATGAATATTATCTTTGTGATGCCGCATATACTTGTACCCGTGGAGTTATGACTCCGTATCACAATACGAGGTAACAGTTAGCAGATTTTCGACGTAGACTTGCATTAACAAAAGAAGAAATGTTCAATCATGCTCATGCAAGGTCTAGAAATATTATCAAGCGTGCGTATGATGTCTTAAAATCAAGGTTTCCAATCCTGAAGGAAATGACTGTTTATCCTTTTCCAATACAAAAAAATGTGGTGATTGTTTGTTTCACGATTGATAACCTTATAAGGAAATGCAATATCCAAAACCAATTATTTATGGACCACAATGATAACACCGTGTTTAACGTTGCTGAAGAACAACAAGAAGGAATCAATGAAATAGAAGTCGATGAAATGCAATGGAGTTCTCAAGACGTTGAATATATGACTAGTTTGCATAATCAGATTGTAAATTAGTTATTATCTAATGTTTCAAATTGCGATTTCTACGACAATTATTATGTTTAAATTCAATTTATTATCCTGTCTAAATATAGTTCAATTATGAAATTTGTATTTTTGTCATTTCAACAATTATTCATACATAATATTTGATAAATAGTTGTATTATGTTTCAATACTTCATCACATATAAGGTTATAATGATCATTTTATTATTAATCAGCATCAAATCCAGAATACTTGATAAACAATTTTTTTAAAAACAATACTTGCTCTGGTCAAAAACCTTTTATTTCAAAGAGCATTTACCAGCTGTTGCAGATAAACAACCCCTAAATCATAAGGTGTTACAGACGTGACTTGACCTGGGACAGAAGACTTAAACGACGGCGAGTTATGGCCGCTATTTTGAACACCGGTCGGAATTGGAATGAATCATTCCCGGATATCGGGTAATGCTCTCTATTCCCGAATCACCAGCCCCACCCAAAAAACCCCAATTTTCTTCTCGAATCACACCTCCTTCAGCTTCTCATTCAAACCGCTGCTGTTCCGTCGCATCTTCTCTCTTCCTTCCTCGTGGTTCAACAAAGGTATTGATTTCATCTTTCTCTTTTCAGGATGTTTTCGATGATTTTCATCGCCTCCTTAGGGTTCATGGTTTTTCAGTTGGTAGCATATGAACATCAATGTAAAAGGGGGAAAACTATTCCAATGATTATGATATCTGTTTATGTGTTGCTGAAAAATTCTTTCCGTAACCTTACGCTCTTTTTCGTATTTCGAATATGGTCCCTGTCCTGAACTTAGGTAGTGCTGTGATTTGTGACTATTGTTCCATCTATCAAATGTTTTCATTCGCTGGATACTAGCAGAAATGGCGTCACTGGTGCTTAGTCCTTTTGATTCCAATGCATTTCATTTGGTAGCAGAAAAACTGACGTAACCTGAAAGAGATTATGAAACTATCAAAGTTGTGTGACCTTTTCATGTTTAACTTTAACACACCTGTTAAGAAGTTGATGTTATCAATTTTTTTTTCAATTTATGATAAGCCTAACACATCATAAGTTGATAGGTAACAGCAGATTGATAGTTTTGTGGTGCATCTTAGGTGTTCGATAAAATGTCTAGCTTAAAATTTTAATATGGGAGTTTTATCTGCTATACAAGAGTGATGTGTACAAATTGATAGGTAGCAACAGATTTCTTTTCTGGGTAGAAACTAATTTCTTTGAAACCTTTTCCATTCGTAGCATTCTATATTTATATAACATTATAGTGAAAATTGGTTCTTTAATCGGAAAGAGTGAAAGGGGTTTTCAAATCGAAACCTCTAAGATATGGAAAATTGGTCAGGGTGGAACCCATTTAAACAATAGTGCTGTACGCTTAACGGTCTTGTGGAACGAGGGACAAGATGTCATGTGACAGGATGGTACAAAAACTTGTCCCAAAATTGGACGACATTAGACTAGGACAGGGAGGACCTAAGTGACAATATCGGTAAATTCTTATGGAACAAAATATATGGAACAATAATTAGGAAGAAATGACAATTTCGGTAAATTTTCAAGTTACCCTGTGAAATTAAAGCCTTAAAAACTTCCACATGTCTTTCACCTGCCTACCTTGCTGTTACCTGTTCAGTTCCGTCTGCTTACCGACCGTTCTTTATTATCTTTAAATACATTTTAAATGATTCTGAGCCTTGTTTCAGGGTCTTGAGGATGTCACTGTTTTGCTGCTACCCACTCTAAAGTCATCTTCTAATCTCACCGTTGTCTGCAATGTGGAGGTCAGCAGTGATGGCTAGACTTGTCCGACTTTCTGGTCCTCTTGGAGCCATTCGGGCTCAAACCGTTCTTTACAGCCTTAGCACCATCGTGCAAGATAGAACACCCATCCAGAAAATTGCAACTTCATCAGGTATGAATCAATATTTAAGCGAACCCATATCCAAACGCCAAATAGGGGAGAATGTATCAAGAAAAGATAAGATCAACTTTTTAGTCAAAATCTTGATGAATCTCGACAATAGTCAAGAATCTGTATACAATGCTCTTGATTCATGGGTAGCCTGGGAACAAGACTTCCCAATTGGACCATTAAGGCGGGCATTAATTGAGCTCGAGAAAGAACACCAGTGGCATAGAGTTATTCAAGTTATCAAATGGATGTTGAGCAAAGGTCAAGGGACGACAATAGGAACTTATGGGCAGTTGGTTCGGGCACTGGACATGGATCATCGGGCAGAGGAAGCCCATGAGGTTTGGGAGAAGAAATTGGGTTCAGATTTGCATTCAGTTCCGTGGCAGCAGTGCCACCAGATAATATCGGTGTATTACCGAAACAATATGTTGGAACGGTTGGTTAAACTTTTCGAGGGTTTGGAAGCGTATGATCGTAAGCCGAGGGATAAGAAGGTAGTGAAGAAAGTTGGTGATGCATATGAGGTTTTGGGCATGATTGAAAAGAAAGAAAGAGTGTTGGAGAAATACAAGAGTTTGTTTGATGAGACTTCATCATCCTCCAAGAAATCTACAAGAACTTCAATAAAAAGGTAATTCTGGCCAAAGACAAAAGCCAGGCTTTGGGGCTCCTTTCTATAGGTTATCAGTTCGAATCTCCACTGAGGATTTCCCCGACTATTATGTTTAGGGTTTTATAAGATTAGTTGAGGAGTACTCGAGGATTTCCTCGACTGTTATCTTTAGGGTTTTATAAGATTAGTTGAGGAGTACTCGAGCAAAACAAAGTTGGTTATGGGATACTAGGTTTATTTGTTTTTTCTACTGTAATTAATTTACCAGATGAATATGATAAGGACCAAAAATCTTACCCGGTAAGAGGGATACAAGAACCGAGAGTCTTACCTAGTAAGTGAGAGCGACGACTCTTACCATGGTAAGCGCTTACCGGGTAAATTGTTGCATACCATGCCGTTTTGGTGGACTAAAATTTTACCCGGTAAGTGGGTGGTAGTGTTAAATTTTACCGATAAGTGCTTACCGAGTAAATGTTTGGTAAACGGCTCCTTAGTAGTAAGATGAGGGTTGGGTTCCAGTAAGAAGTAGAATCAATGTGAAAAGCGTAAAAAAGGATCTCTCCCTTAGATGCACATTAGGATGAGATGCACCGGATTAATATTTGTATCAAACGCGATTCATGGGTGAGCTTGAGGTTAAAGGTGATGAATGATCCAGGTCCCTTCTTTTGAATCTCACCTTCACTTTCCTTCTCATACGATCTTTGATTAGATTTATGGTATTCAATTGGAATATAACAATAAATTTGATTTTACAAGAAGTGGTTGAAGCAAAAAATAAATGGATGGAGTATTTATATTTACTAGAAGGGTACTTGTGCAATGCAGCGAGATAAATCTCGATTTTAGTGTTTAGTTTTTATTCTGTCTCTATCGATATAATACGATTTTATGTGGTTTTGACAAAACGATAATATTTTTATTTTTGAATAAAATATAAATTTGAAGATAACATAAAATTTTTAAAAAAATTGATATTAGTATTAAATTAACTATTTAATAGATCTCGTCTTTTTGGTGTAACTTCTTTAATTCAATTTTTTTTATTATAATTTAATTTTGATTTAATAACAAAGTAATTTATTTTTGGTTTAACAATATAATTTTTTTAATAAAGATAATAATTAAACATTCTGTTAGGACTCAAGGATTATCTTAATTATATTTTAGATTTTCTATATTTAAAATGGATATTTATTCTGTATTTGATTATATTTATTCACAGTTAGTTACACAAATTTAAAAATGGAGCTTTAATAAGTTGTATTTACGTAAAATTAGTTGTAATCTTCAATTTTAAGTAATATGCATCAATAAACAGTACTTCATACATAAAAATTTGTTCTTAAGAGTTTTTGTCAAATGCTTTATAATATAGTATAGATTTTCTATATTTAAAGTGGATGCTTATTCTGTATTTGATTATATTTATCCGCAGTTAGTTACACAAATTTAAAAATGAAGCTTTAATAAATTGTATTTACGTAAAATTAGTTGTAATCTTGAATTTTAACTAATATGCATCAATAAACAGTACTTCATACATAAAAATTTGTTTTTAAAAGTTTTTGTCAAATGCTTTATAATATAGTATAGATTTTCTATATTTAAAGTGGATGTTTATTCTGTATTTGATTATATTTATCCGCAGTTAGTTACACGAATTTAAAAATGGAGCTTTAATAAGTTGTATTTTCGTAAAATTAGTTGTAATCTTGAATTTTAAGTAATATGCATCAATAAACAGTACTTCATACATAAAAATTTGTTCTTAAGAGTTTTTGTCAAATGCTTTATAATATAATATAGATTTTCAATATTTAAAGTGGATGTTTATTCTGTATTTGATTATATTTATCCGCAATTAGTTACACGAATTTAAAGATGGAGCTTTAATAAGTTGTATTTACGTAAAATTAGTTGTAATCTTGAATTTTAAGTAATATGCATCAATAAAACAGTACTTCATGCATAAAAATTTGTTCTTAAGAGTTTTTGTCAAATGTTTTATAATATAGTATAGATTTATAAAGATAATAATTAAACATTCTGTTAGAACTTAATGATTATCTTAATTATATTTTAGATTTTCTATATTTAAAATGAATGTTTATCTTGTATTTGATTATGTTTATCTGCAGTTAGTTACAAGAATTTTAAAATGGAGTTTTAATAAGTTGTACTTACGTAAAATTACTTTTAATCTTGAATTTTAAATAATATGCATCAATAAACAGTACTTTATGCATAAAAATTTGTTTTTAAGATTTTTTGTCAAATGCTTTATAATATAGTATATACATATTTTGAAAAACAAAGTAGGAAATAGAAACCGATAAATCGTGAATTGTTGATGACTTTGACATTGTTGGCTAGATAGAGGTGTTCATCAAATAGCTTGCGTCGTTTTAAACCGTGTGGTTTAGAGGTTTTATGGTACAGTTATGACTTGCATTATTGTCAATGTCAAACCGTATTATATGAATGTTACGTTATATATTGTAAAAAATACATTTAATTCATTTTCTAAAAAGAATTATAGGGACGTTTAGTTCATAGAAATAGAGTGTTTTATGAAAAAAAAAATGTAAGTTAAATGAATTAGAATCTGAATGTTTTGAGGTTTGATCAAATGTTTGGTTTACAAGTAAATAAATATAATTTGTATGTTTGGTTTAAAGATGTTGGTTATGGAATAATGAAAAATGATCAAATTAACTTTTATTTGAATTTGTTATTTTCCTAAATCATAAATAACAATAAAATTGACATTTAGGTGTCGTTTACCAAATGCTTATCTGGGTAAGCGCTTATCAAGTCACTTTACTTTACCAGATTAATTTGACGAAGACTAAGAATCTTACCGGTAAGAGCAAAGGTAATAATCGAGAGTCTTACCAAGTAAGTGAGGAGGAGGTCTCTTACTATAGCGCTTACCGCAATAAATTGTTGCACACGATGGATTTTAGTGAATAAATTCTTACCCGGTAAGTAAGCAATAGTGTTGAATTTTACCGGTAAGTGCTTACCGGGTAAGTGTTTAGGTAAATAGCCCCTTAATGAGAAAGACCTATTGTGCTCTTACATTTAGTTTAAGATAAGAGGGTCTGAAAAAAGATAAAAAAAAAAAAAAAAACAATCTGAATTCAAAAACGTCTGATCGAATAAGTGATAAAAGGCAAAACTGAAAACATAAACACAAACAGACTCTAATTCATTGCTTCCAACCACAACAGTTTTCACTGCTATCACCATTACTGTCGCCACCTCCATCATTGTCACCTCCAATCATCACCAATTATCGCCTCCACACCACCGATTGTGAGTAAGGGGCTGTTTGTTTGGCTCTTAATGGTGACATTAAGAGCCAACCTCTTAATCGGTAAGAGGTAAAGTGTGTTTGGCATAAAAAAAAACAAGCCTCTTAACCATTTTGAGGGTAGGGCTTCATTAAACCATTCAGATTACATTTGTTTCCTCTTTACCCTTCCACCCCCCTTTACCAGCAGCGCTCATCGTCTCCTTCACATTGTCGTCACCTTGCACAGATTACTGGTTATCGCCTCCATCTTCTCCATCGCCAGTGACCTCCGTCGTCTGTGTCGTCGGTTGCGCTTTCCACAGCTTCGCCGGTCGCTTCTATCAGGTAACTTCTGTCGCCCGTTATCTTCCGTTTGGTCGTCGGTCGCTAGTCGCCGGTCGCTGGTCGCCGGTTAGATCTTCTGTTTTTTGAAGATTGCTATCACTTTTTCCTACTAGATCTTCTGTTTAGATCTTGCTATTTAGATGGGGTTTTTTGAAGATTGCTATCACTTTTGAAGATTGCTACTGCTTTTTCATTTTCTGTTTACAATGTGTATCGAAGATTGCTACTGCTTTTTCATTTTCTGTTTACAATTTTCAAATTATATAAATAACAGCGGAACATTGTTATTTAGAGTTGAGGCATGTTGTTGCACTCAAAAAGGATATAAATAAGCTAAGGATGGTAACAATTGTAAACAGATCTTGTAGAAATTATGTTTATTGTTTGTTTATTCGTTTGCTAAACTTTATGTTACTTTGTACTTTATAAAATTGTTTGGACTAGGTATGAAATTAGTTGGTGATCTTCGCACCAAAAGAAACGTAGGATTACCTGGAAAAAGGAAGGATTGGTCCAAACATTTCTCGAAGCTTGTATACACGAGACAATTAAAAATGGACGAGAAGGTAGTAGTCTTAAGTCACAATCGTGGAAGAATGTTGGAGAAGAGTTGAAAAGAAAACATAACATTATCGTCGATCAACGACAAATGAAAAATCACTACGATTATCTTAAAGGAAAATACGCAGCTTGGTCTAAACTGAAAAAACAAAACGGGCAATGTCTAAGATCCATCAACCAACACCTTCAATCTATCTGATGAGGAATGGAAGATAGAAATTTCGGTCACTTTCTTTCTTATTCTTTATATAATTATATTTTTATAATATATTTATTTATATGGATATAATTTTTTTAAAACAGCAAAGTAAATACATGGAACCATTGAGGAGTACCGGACTGCTTTATCCTGAACTCTGTGTGCAACTATTTGATGGGGTTGTCAGTGTTGGGCTTGAGAGTTATGGAACTGCATCTACAATTCCTGATCCTTATGACTCTGATCTCAACTTGAATGAAGATCTACCTGACACATAAGAAACCGGGGGACTACCCTCAACTCAAGAAACCGGGGGGCCGACCTTAACTCAAGAGTGTTCTTCTCGCCCTCCGATACAAAGCAAAAAAGGGAAAGCTAAAGCTAAAGAAATATGTGCTTCTAAAAAAGTGGAACTTGAAGAAACTATTTTGAAGGTTATGAATGTTATGCTAGAGAAGCATGGAGCACCAAAAGATGATCTTGATGATTGAAGGTTAATGTTTCATTCTTTTTGATGCGACAAAAGAGGTTTGTTTTACTAAATGATACACATATAAGTTTATAAATATGTTTTGGTGATTATTCACCCTGTAATAGCAAACAAAACTATTTCTCACTAGATCTCAAGGTCTAACCCTCATTTTGATGTTTTGAAATTGTGTATTATAGATCGGGTACAACCAGATGATAAGGAGAAAAGAAAATTGTGAAGAGTTATATATGCTTGAATGAGATGTTGGGATAACATGCTATCTTTTGTAATTGAATACTTGATATGTATATAAGTTTTGTATAAGGATTTTTGTGGAAAAATTTGATAGTTACTTCGTAATGTAGCTTTTGTAGATATTAGGATCAGATGTGTAAATTATATTTCTTGATATATGAAAATATATGTTTATATGTAAATGTGATCTTGGGGTGTTACAGATTAAAATCACAAAATAATTCATTATATAATGAAAAACTATTACTTATTAAATTTTATCTAAAAGATAGAAAATTTTCATTTTAATCTTCTATCTAGTTTAGTATTAAGGGGCTGTTTAACAGTTGTTGAATGGTTTGGTGAGAAATGATTAAGAGACTTTCATGATATAGTGAAAAATGGAATATAATTGTTTGATAATTGTTTACAATGAAATTAAGGCTTTAAATGATTAAGGGAGTCTAATGGTACAAAATCATTCATGGAGGTTTTAAAATCATTAAGAGACAAATTTTTTTTTTGTAAAACAATATTCACCTATTAAGATTCAAATACTGTCTCTTAATGGAACTATGAAAAAATAAACAAATAATACCTAAACTAGTTGTCTACCCGCGCAAAGCAGCGGGTTAGATCTCAATTCCGAGGCGGACAACTCGAACCCGTAATCTTGCTTTCTGTTGTGCTCTATTCTATATTCCACTTGATTTTATTTTATGTTTTAATTATATGGTTTTTAGTTTTTAGTTAATTGGTATATAAATTCAAGGTTATTATGATTGACTCACCATATATTTGGAAAGAGAATTGTGAGAACTTCTATTTTGATTTGCAAATTGAGGCTCCAACTGWTTATGTTGTATCCTTCCATTTCTCATCTCCAACTTTCTAATTATGTTATTTTACTTGTTATTGGTCTTCTCTGAGTTTTCTGGTGTCATTTAATCGAGTTTTAAAGAACCCGAAGGCTACCATTGAAGACGGTTTCGACCTTCATTTAATGGTCTTAAATCTTAATGGGGTTGTTTTTCTTCAATTGATGCATAAAAGCGATGGCTTTTTATATAAAACAATATTTCGACCAATTTTTTTTATAAAAATGTATCGAAACTGAGTTGTTTTGGGTAGCTTCAAAATCGGATCAGAAAAATGGTTTTGGGTCTTAGGCGCTTGTGGAAATTATATATAAATGAGTAAGAGATTCACTAACAATTGCAAAATCTATCAACTTCATTCTGCCATTTTTATTTTTCTTCTTGTTGGACTTATGCATCCATCGATTTCATGGGCATTGCTTGCCTACTCATGTCAATTCTTCAATATTATACCATGTTTACTTGTATGTATAAAATGGTTCTAAATCTTTCTAGGTCTTATATCTCCATACATGTTTCTATACATCATGGACATAGGACCCTCAACATTAAGAGAATGAACTAAATGAACGTTATTGAAAATCTTTGAATTTATTTGGTTTCAATGGATGATATTTAAATCCAAAACTAATTGCAAGTCGTAGTATCTAAACACAAAACGTAATCAAGATGAAATACATATTTGTGACTTTGTAACTCAAAAGCTGTAACATGATAATTAGTTTCTTAAAACTATGTGTTTTTCATGAAATACAAAAACAAAGCAACCAAAGCCAACTGCTCCAAGAGTAAATTTTCTTCAACAATTGGCTTTACCAATAAAGACTATTATATAGAGTGACAGGACCATATCCATTAGCCAATAAAATAGACTAAAATTAAATACATTACAATAACAAAATATGTAAAACATGAAGCTCATGTTTCGTTATTTCCATCTTTTTACACAACCATCCAATCCCTAACCGGTCTCACTAATGGCGGTGGTGTTCGCATTCCACCGGCACCGAAGCAAAACCTTGCGGCATCGTTGCAGTAGTCGTATATCATATGGTTAGCCCGCACCCATATCAACAGATGGCTTTGATGCACATTTAACTCCGACAACACCGGTCGATCCCACCAACCGCCGTTGCTCGCACACCGCTTCGCATTGTCAGTATCCGCCGTTGTCACCGGACATTCACAACCGTCGATTTCGTACCCACGGTACGATGCTACAAAAGGGTCATGGGTCCAGTCGGTCTTGACCCGGCCACCTTGTGTGGCCCAGTCATCCGCATTCCAAATCGAACTGTACACACCCATGGCTTGATCTTTAGGAAACGGTATACCCTAGTGCTCCAAATTAGAGTGAACCATGATCGGCGTCTCGTCGACCAAAAACCTGCATTATTTACGACAGAAGAAGGTCATTCAGTGTGCAATAAACGCTTGTACATTATGCATTAGAATTTGTAATAATCAAAAGTAAGATGAGATACTCGATGGATAATAAGTAAATTATTTACGTTGCCTGCTTTCTTTTTCAGACCCATCATTGCGAATTAAAGAAGGGAGAGTGAAATGAGTATCAAATTGTACAACATAAAGTAGYGTGGTGTGATTCCCGAGTGCTTTAAGGACTTGTACTGTTATGGAACTTACACAACTTGATGCTGATTCCAGAGGATGGAGTAGGAATGGAAGTCTTTGGTATGGTCGAACCAGAGGTTCAATCGTTGTACCCTGTTTCCGACGCCATTGACGTAAACATTGGTCTGGACGACGTAAGGTTYGCCGRTGGTGTTTCCGAGGAACTCGAAGTCGAACTCAYGGTGTTTGGGACCGYCGGATGACATSTGAACAGATTACGAACATGAACACCGTTTAGAAAATGAATCAAACACCGAACGAGCAAAACGATTTCATATTTAAATTCATCGGAATCAACTCACGTAAAATGCAGTTACAGTTCCGGCGGAATCACCTTCAACAAGCTTGATTTGAATGTTAACTTTTCYAAACATATACTTCGATTTGGACGAAAATCCATGCTGCAAGAGGGATGGKAACATCAGATACACCTCTAGATGATGATGCATGCTCGGCTCCACCATCCTCATCCTCACCAGTGCCATATACAGAACCAAGCAAAGACAGTGCTCCTGCTCCTGCCGCATCGAGAAGCRTTTGAATGGAGAGATGGAGTGTATTCGAGTATGGGAATCGATTTTTTAAATAGCCGCTTTGGGAATCGTAGCTTTGGGAGCGCGAAGTTTGAAAGAACCGAAGGAGGGAGGCGTGTCTTGGGAATATTAAATTTTAAGAGTAGTGTTGTGGTATGTAATTATGTATTAAAAAGTGGTACTCGATTTTTTAAATCGCCGCTTTGGTAATAGTAGCTTTGGGGAGCACGAAGTCTGAAAGAACTAAAGGGATGGAGGCTTAAAGTAGTGTTGTGGTATGTATTAAGAAGTTGTACACTATGTTGATTGTATTGTGATTAAGACTTTAAGACTTTAAAGGTAAAGGGGTATTTTGGGTATTTATAAATTTAAGACTTTAAGACTTTGAGTAAAAATGCTTAATAATATAGTATAGATATAGATAAAGTAAAACAATTTAGTAAATTTTAGAATTAATAATTATTTACTTAGCATATGTCACATTGCGATTTGCAGATAAATCAAAATAGCCACAGAGAAGTTGCTATTAAACGCCAACCCTAGATCACAAAACCTAACGACTCCGAGACCTCCATGGATCCACTCTACCATGTCGTCAACACCATCCCTTACTCCTTCCTCCGGCCACCGCGCCTCCGCCTCAAACTCCCAACCATAACCCTCCCTTCCCCTATGACCGTCTTCTCACTCGTCCTTCTCACCTACTTCATGGTTGTCTCCGGCGTTGTCTACGATGTCATTGTTGAACCTCCAGGCATCGGATCCACTCAAGATCCACGGACTGGCACCGTCCGACCAGTCGTCTTCATGTCCGGCAGAGTCAACGGACAGTACATTATCGAAGGGCTTTCTTCGGGCTTCATGTTCGTGCTTGGAGGATTGGGGATTATTCTTATGGACCTTGCGATCTCCCCGAATCGTGCCAAGAGTCTCAAGATCTCGTTTGCAGCTGCTGGGATCTCGTTCCTGGTTATTGCCTATGTCATGAGTATGCTCTTTCTTCGTATTAAAATTCCGGGATATCTCCGTTGATCGTAGATTCTTTTCCAATCGGAAAAAGGTGCTTATAATGTTTATGTTTTATGATCTAGTAGACTGCCAGCAGTTGGAATTTTGAATGTTCACATTCATACTTTGGTTAATTACTTTAGATTGTTGAATATGAAACAGAACCGGATTGTAGATTGTCAAAAATGTTCATCTTCCATCCGTTAAATTCCAAGGATTGGGGAAAAGGGGAAGAACAGAGTTTGTATGTGTGAGTTGGGAGTTGAGAGGTCCAAGGTGTTTAAGCTTAAAATGGTGATGGTGTTGACTGTTTGAAGTAATTTGTAGGCTCAGTTATTGATCTTAAGTAGATATGCTTTAAATTCATGAGTAAATTTTCTTCGTTACCATCATATATGTGTCAATTTCTTACATTTTCTTGGTACTTATTCATTCTATTAATTTTGTGCATTAATCTGAAGTTCAAGTACTTAGTTTAAGTGTTCTTTAAACTGATAGTTCATCAGCTTAATTGCAAACTGCAAGTGACATTATGACCTAATGATGCTTATAACATCAAAACAAGAGGGATGGTGGTCGTGGATCAGCAGTTGGTTGGCAATGGACTGCTTCGGCATAGGCTGTCATACTACTTGAATAATGATATAAAACCCCACCCTTTTGGACATACTTAAGAAGGACCAGAGGGGGAAATCAACTCTCAGTTGACTGAGTTTAGCTAGGCCTGTTATGCCCATCTTCAAGAAATATGATTTCATTTCCTCAGCATGCTGATCCCAAAAGGGATGGCTCCTAACCTTAGGGCTAGCTCAAGTTACAAATAAAGGCTGTCTTGGGGCTCCTCCTCTTATGTCGCCAATTCGGGTTTCCTTAGGGCCATTGGGGGTTTTTTTGGCTAGTATCTTTAGGGCCCCATGGGATTAGAAAGTTGGCCTGGACACCCACGGCTACCAAAAAGATGGTGGCTTTGCATGCTAGGTGTAATTCCCCACTCAGCCACTTCTTCGACCATGTGTTACCTTTTAATAATTTTCCTAGTTGCTACCTTTTAGGAATTCCTCTTTATCAGCAAATAGCAGCTCATGAATGTCTGGTATAGATATCCTTGGGCTTTGGTTTTAGGAAGTAATTTAATTTGTTATTGAATTTCTAAGCTGCAGCCTTGTCCTCTCCCTATAACACTAACTATTGGTTGTATTTATGTTAAAAATTCTTGAAAACAGTCTCCGACTGATGTAAATTATGCGTACATCCTAACGCAAGACCTGACATCTGGGTGAGACATACTGGAGTTTTTTAGTTTTTTTATGTTTAGGATTCTTGCATGGATTGATGCTAATAAACTTCTCTCTTCTTTCAACAACTCTTTCATGTCCCTACAAGCCAATCGATCGCTAGTATCATTCTTTGTTTCCAAATTGGATACCAAGATCGAGTGGCAGCAGACGTAGTGGCTCTTCAAAGGACCCAGTTGTGTCCACAAGCCATCAGCCTGACACTGGAATTTTAGTTCAAACCAGGCTCAGATTGCGACTGAAAAGGTCCAATCCAGTCCAGGCTTAAACCATAGCTGAAAGGGATTCTTACCACTCAGTCTAGTTGCTAAGATCTCTAAGGGGCCGTTTACCAATGCTTACTCAGGTAAGCGCTTACCAAGTCACATTCCCTCACCAGATGAATATGACAAGGACCAAGAATCTTACCTGGTAAGAACGAAGGCGCGGACCGAGAGTCTTACCCGGTAAGTGATGGTGACGGTTCTTACCATGGTTAGCGCTTACCGGGTAAATTGTTACACACGATATCATTTTGGTAGAATAAAATCTTACCCGATAAATAAGCGATAGAATTGAATTTTATCATTAAGCGCTTATCGAGTAAGTGTTTAGGTATACAGCCCCTAAGTTGAGCTTGTTTGATCCAAAATTTGGGTTTTAGGTGGATCACTGAATTTTCTATTTGGGGTTGACTATGATAACCGGTTTGAAGACTATTTATCTAATTCAGTTAGCTTCTGCAAGGGATTATTTGTTGTCTTTATCAAGTAAAACTTAATTTAGCCGCTCGGTCCTCTTGCTCGTTACTTAGAAAAAGTGAGCCACCGATGCAGGTACAAGATACTGTTATTACCTTCACAACAATTAGACCTCATGGCCTACTTTTACCCATTGTTTCTTTTCCGGGGTCAATATTAGCAATTTAGTTCGTATAACAGCAAACCTAATCCGAATTATAAAGCTACGACACAATCAAACCCTATTAAATACGGTTAATCTCAATTTTGTAACTTTTTAAAAGTATATAGTATTTATATACGACTATTCATGTATATTCCTCATCTTTGGTGGAGTTTAAACGCTTGACCTCCTGTGAAGTTGAGTTGTACCAGTAACTTGGATATTGCTTGGCTAACAACTCTTTAGTAATATTTAACATTTTTGCATACTTAAAAAGCCACCTATTGACGCTTAACGCTCATTCATTCATGATAACCTTTGCATCATTTGTCACACGGGACAAAGAAGGGTCCTTGACTAAACTAATCTCCAAAAAATTCAAATTATAAAAATAACCTAAAAAATATCATATTTCTACCCCAGCCCACCCCCAATTTAGCATTACACATTGTTTGGTGTGAAAGGGGAATTTTTGGAAGAAAAAAAACTTACCTGTGACATGCCTTCGAGATGATGGTTAAGCACCAACAAGTGCTTGGTGCTTCTAGTTTGACCCCATTGTCTTTTTTTAGGAATGGCAATGGGTCAGTTCGGGCCGGTTATTGGTATTCCCGTTCCCGAAACCGATAACTAAAACTGTCATCATAACTGCTCCGATCCCTGTCAGGGATCTTATCGGGGATCCCCGTCGAGTCCCCGCGGTTTCCCCGATCCCTGTTGGGGAATCCGTTAAGAGAAAATCTTTTTTTACCGTTGGTTTCTCGTTCACCTTTGGTTATACCAAAACATGAAACCTGAAGTGATCTGGAAAAAAGTTCAATACGTTAATTTTCACAACTAAAAGTAAATTCGCGGTTTCCCCGATCCCCGTTAGGGAACCCGTTAAGATGTAAGTCTAAATGTTTTAAATATAATCAAACCAATTACAAAAAATGTTTTATATTACTATATAAAAAGTAAACAAAAATTCAAACACCAAACGACTAACATCACGATTTCACGAATCGACAAAATAAACTAAACTTTTTCGTGAGCCTTATTTAGGTGTTGAGGTAAATTGGATAAAAGTCTTTTAAATTTTAATGTTAGTATTTTTTAATGATATATATACACATATGTATGTAGATGGAGGTTCAAACGAGAAGACCTCCATTTTACGAGAACCCGAGAGCACCCTTATCATATGTAATAATACGCTTGAGGGGACCTAGTGGTATGCTGAACACATGTTCTACGACTTAGGTCACGCCAAAGGTTGTCTGCGTCTATGATTTAGCATCACATGTGATTGTCTTGATGGATTATAGTTTCATATCAACAACACTCTTATCACATGTGATAATACATGTGAGGGGGCTTAGTGATGTAAGGGCTACTTGGCCTTCAACCAAGATCGTGCATGCATCTTTGATTTAGTATCACATCGGTATCATATGTGATGGAATAATAATAATATCACATGTGATTGTCTATTGTAAAAGGGTGTTCTCACATTCTCATAAAATGAAGGTGTTCTCGTTTAAACATTTCCCTGTATGTGTGTGTGTGTGTGTGTGTGTGTGTATATATATATATATAAATTAAAATTAATATCTCTACACATATCGGGTCGGGCCGGTGATCACCGTCCCCGTCCTCGGTAAAATTCCCGAATATGTCCCTGATCTCCGCCCCATCCCCGATAACATGTCCCCGAACCCGACCCAAAAGTTTTGGTTTTCAGTTTTCACCATCGGTTTTGGTTTTTTATGCCAATTTCCCCTTCCCCCTTTTTCCTTTATACCTACCTACATATATATACAGAGGTACGTTCAAATGAAAACCGTGCATTTCTTAGAAACCGTGTAAACTAATTTCGACCAATAGAAAAATTCTATTTTTTTTCTAATGAAATATTTTGGTCATTTACATTGTTTTATATTAAATATGAAAGTTATTAATAAATATTAATTAAGGAAACGTAAAAAAAGAAATTTTATAAATGGTAACATTTAAATATTTAATTATATTATAATATTAAAAATTTGAACTTGTAATATTCTGTGGCGATTGAATTTTTTCCAGAATCATGAAGATTGTAAGGTATTAGAGCAATGAATTCATCAAATCGGTATTAAAATAAAAAATTAATGTTCATGAAACAGGTTTCATAATGGTGAAAATGGTGCATGGCGTAATTGAACAATGAGTAGTGAACTGGTTTCATGGTGAAACCCGTTTCATAAATGTTGAAGTTGATGCTTAGAGTAAGTGAAACGAATTATGAAACGGGTGCATCATGTAAGCGGTACGTCATGAAACTATTGAATGATGAAACGGGTGCATGATGAAATCGGTGCGTCATGAAATAATTGCATGATGAATAGGGTGCATAATTTTTGTGGGTGTTTGAAGAAAGTGAAACAATTTCAGAAAATGAAATAAAAGTCTGATTCATTTGCGAAAAGTGAATCAAGTTCATTATCAATATTGTGAAATGTCAAATGACTCATCAAACCATGAGTGCCGATGAAATGGGTAAGTGAAGACAGTGAAACTATTTCATGTTTTATAATAAAATTTTATATAATTAGTAAACAATGAAACAATTTCATTATAATAAAATTAATTACGTTGATTAGTTTGTTGATGAAATTGTGAAACTATTTCGTTCATATAATTTAATTCAATTTTTTCTTTATTTCTATTCAAGCGATTCATTATATATAATTGACTATGGTGTGTTTTATTTATATTTTTGATATATTTTATTGATGAATGTCATTTTAAAAAATGTTAACGTAAAAATAATATATTACTTTACAAAATAAATTTGTTTCATTAATAATATGATATACAGGATATGGTTGTCTTGATTAAAAAATAATATGAATTCAATGTATTTAAATGTTTACCATTTTATCCTTATTGTTGTTATAAAAATAAATTTTTAATATATATATTTTTTAATTTCCTAAAATAAACTAAACTAATCTTGATAATTGATCAAGAAAATGGATAAATGAGATTGGTTTACATAAATGGGGGCGGTTTTCATTTGATCGCTTCTCTCTTTTTTTTTTTTCTCTCTCTATCTATATATATATATATAGAGAGAGAGAGAGAGAGAAAGATATATATATATATATATATATATATATATATTGGGACAAGATTAAATATTAACCAAAGTTTTTGTGTTAACTTTGC